AAAGGAAAGGAAAATTGCGCGAGCACTATGGAGCCTCTTTTCTCCCATAAGGTTTACTCCCTCTTCAAATAAAAAGATGTTCAACGCGATTTCGAAGGCAGTGCCATCCTAGTGCCCCTGAATCTTGCGATGACTCCCAGACGATTATTCAAGGCGAGCTCGGCGACGAAAAAGCAGCCCATTAGAAATCAATTTAGAGGTGGTCAGTGAAGTCATGAAGAAAAAATCGAGAGAAACGGCCTGGAACCTTAGAAATGGGATCCTTCCTTGCACGTTGATTTGCGCCTTACGCTGGTCCCATTGGTGCTTACCTCATCAATCCTAACCATCTCTGCTAGAGCAAGTAGGGTCGGACGGCAAGGGTCAGCGATCGTTGGGCGTGCGGCGGCGCGAGCGGCGCGAGTACGGTCCTGCCGAGCTGCTGAGGGTGTACCTTTCGCTGCGAAACGCGCACCATCCCGCACCCTTGGAGGTCCGCCTACATTTTTACTGGTAGATTTGCCATTCTTCAACCTCGGAACCTTATCGTGAGATACTCCTTTGAGTATTACTCGTTTTTTTCAAAGGTAGGTGCACCGTTTTTGAAGGCAAGTACGCATAAACAATGAAACTGCGGCATTGAAACATGGGGTTAGAGGGCAGTCGTGCAAGTAGAGGGCAGCCATCACGAAACCCACCGTTGGGTTGATTAGGCATATTTTCCTACTTGGTGTAGCCAATCATTCGGCAAGTAATTTGCGTGCGGTGTAGTTCATTTTCACAACTTGTCAGTGGTGGTAGTGGGACCCTCAGAAGTAGCGTGACAGCTAGCGGCCAACGAAGAACGACAAGGCGCAAACCCGCATCTGAAGAGATCCCATCAGCACTAGCCAGAAGAATGCAACATCGTGCTTGGAACGCGCCAGATGGTGCTGATGAGCCTGAGGTGCCGGTGCTACGAGGAGTTTTGCCAATGTTTCCCGTACCACCACCACCGATTCGGCCAGCAAATCCGCCACCGGCTCGGAATTTACGTCGAGGCGCCGCTCGGTGAGTACTGTCAGCCAAAGTGTTCAACAAACTTTCAGCACTCATTTTTGTGGCAGACTTCGGGCGGAATCCCCGGACACAGCTGTTGAATACGACCAGAATGAAGTCGATGCTTTGAAACGAATGAAAGGTAATGGAGCGTTCAGAGTTGACGATCGTACGTGCGATTAGGCAATTAGGCGTTGATTCAGAAAGAAAAGAATGTGCATCGATCAGGCGATTGGGCGATTAGGTGAGTAGGCGAAAGGCAAGCAGGCGATGAGAAAAGGGCGTGTATCAATAATTTGCTTGCTCCCCCCAGAGCGATCGCCTACTCGCCTACTCGCCTACTCGCCTACAACGCTTTATGGGCGGAGCAAACCAATCAATACGTATGTAGTCTTCCCCGCCTAATCGCCTACTCGCCTGATCGCCTACTCGCCTACTCGCCTAATCGCCTAATCTATACGTATATTTTTCATTATAGACTAATCGCCTAATCGCCTAATCGCCTAATCGCACGTACGATCGCCAACTCTGAACGCTCCATAGAGCAGCGTTCAGAGTTGGCGCTCGCACATGAGATCGCGCGATTGGGTGTAGCCTACACGGACAAGGATACGTATCGATCAGGCGATTAGGTGAGTAGGCGTGCAGGCTTAGGCGAGTAACGAGTAGGCGATCGCTCAGTGGGCGGAACCACAAATCAATACTTGACCTTTTCTCATGTGGCCTTCGCTGCAACCGCGACACCATCCCGAACCCTGGTAGGTCCGCCTTTACATTTTGACTGGGTAGATTTGCCAATCTTCGGCCTCGGACCTTAGCCGACCTTATTAGGTACTACTTTGAGTGTTACTCGTTTTTTTTCTTCAAGGGAGATGCACCGTTTTTGAAGGCAAGTACGCATGAACAATGAAACTGCGGCATTGAATTATGGGGTTAGAGGGCAGTCGTTCAAGTAGGGGCAGCCATCACGAAACCCACCGTTGGGTTGATTAGGCTTATTTGCCTACTTGGTGTAGCCAATCATTCGGCAAATAATTTGCGTGCGGCTGTTAGTCTCATTTCATCAACTGTCAGGGCACTACGGTGGTGGATCCTCAGAATAGTTCAAGTGACAGGCTGGCAAAAGGAAGAACTACAACGCCAAACCCGCATCTGAAGAGATCCCATCAGCACTAGCCAGAAGAATGCAACATCGTGCTTGGAACGCGCCAGATGGTGCTGATGAGCCTGAGGTGCCGGTGCTACGAGGAGTTTTGCCAATGTTTCCCGTACCACCACCACCGATTCGGCCAGCAAATCCGCCACCGCGAATTTTACTCGAGGCGCCGCTCGCTTATTCTGACTCAAATGCTCAACAAACTTTAACTACTCATTTTGTGCGACTTCGGCGGAATCCCCGGACACAGCTTGAATATCACGATGAAGTCGATGCTTTTGAAACGAATTAAAAGCGTAATGGAGTGTCAGAGTTGAACATCGTACGTTAGGACGATTAGCGTTCTGATTCAGAAAGAAAGAATGCGCATCGCATTAGGCATTGCCGTATTAGGTTGGACGTAAGCAAACCAGCCCTTTTGGCGCTTCGGCTGGGACCGTGTGCTGAATGTTGGGGAGGGGATGGAGTCTCCGACGGTAGACGGACCACTTCAACTCGGTCCTGGAAACCGACACAATTTGGTGCTTACCTCAGAACTAAGCCTTAAAGAGAGACGGGTCCGTCCCCTCTCCAAGGCTTAGTCCTGGGGTGAGCAAACCAGCCTTCTGGCGGAGCTGCTGGACCAGCTGCACCACTTGCGTCAGTACTCTCCTATCGTACCAACCGAGTTGAAGTAAACCGTCGACCGTTGGGGACCCCATCCCCTACCCAACATTCAGCATACGGTCCCAGCCGAAACGCCAAAAGGGCTGGTTTGCTTACCTCTACCTTTCAGGTGGGATGACGAATGAGAAGCAGTGCGATGAGAAAAGCCGATATATCAATAATTTCTGCTCACCAGCGATCGCCTACTCGATCTACAGTGCTTGGGGTGGAGCAGAATGCTCGTCAAACGTATGCCAGTCTTCCGCTCTATTTAGTCGGTCTCGATAATCGCACTCGGTGACTTATTCACCTGACGCTAACTTATACGTATATTCTCATGTAGGCTAATTGCCTTGATCCCCTAATCGCCTAATCGTCTATGTACTGATCGCCAACTTAACGCTCCATAGGAGCAGGCGTTCAGGGTTGGCGCTTGCACATGAGATCGCGCGATTGGGTGTAGCCTACACGATAAGATTACGTATCGATCAGCGTCCCTGATCTTCGATCGTTGGCGTAGTTCGGCACTCCGGATTCCCCTCTGCACTTGCGTGTATAGGGTTACTCCTAGCATCGTCCTCTCGACAGCGCGTTGGATAACGCTGACCGCATGCTCGTCCTGCCTGCGCAGAGTCCAAGTCTCTGAGGCGTAGGTTAGGGCAGGAAGGACAGCGGAATCGAAGAGGTGGGCACGGAGCCGGATGTTCTTCGTCTTCTTCACTACTCCCTCGATGTTCTTGTACGCTCCCCATGCTCCAGCAGTCCTCCAATCAAGCCGTTTTCGCCAAGGAATCGAAGATAAGGTGGGCCGGACACGTCATGCGATTTTGCGATGACCGTTGGACCAGAGCGGTTACCGACTGGATCCCTCGGGACGTCAAACGAACACCTGGACGACCGCCGGCCCGATGGTCAGACTTCTTCACGAAAGCTCTGAACGAAAGGAATGAAGGACTTCGTGTCCCTCGAGCAGGAGGATCCACTGGACCACTCTAGCACGCGACAGGGACGAATGGAGACGTTGCTGGCGCCCGCTCGAGCAATTCGATGATCAACGGGACGACAGGTGATACAGGTGATATCCGATTAGGTGAGTAGATGCGTTGCTAAGCTTAGGCGAGTAACGAAGTAGGCGATCGCCATGGCGTTGAGCCACAAATCAAGAATACTTGACCTTTCTCATTCTTTTCGCCTACTCCTTAATCGATATGTATGCTTCCTTTTCGAATCATCGAGTGATCGCCTAGTCACCCAAATGCATGTGAGATCGTCAACTCTGCACGCTGCCTAGACTGTGGAGATTATGCCAACTAATGATTAAGAGTCACGAAACATACAGAGTGCTGTTCAGAAATAGCTATCGCCATTGCATCAAAACGTGTTGTGTCGCCTAATTGGGGAACGCAAACAGAACAAATCTTTTGTGCGTTGGTAAGTATTGAACAGTTGATGTGGCAGGCCATTGACTATTTTTACGGTTTGAGTGAATGTTTGGGCAAACAGCTATGTAACAACAGCCTCTACTAAAGCAGTACAAGACAAGCGCGTATCCACATCGTCCTACCGTAATTCGCTCGAACTACGAAAGTTCAAATTGCTGTAATCCCTTAAAGCACTACATAATAACATAAGATTACGATATTTCGGAACAAAGATGTTAATATCAGGATACCATACATATTCTGTCGTAAAGGTGGGGCGCGGGGAGATGCGAGCGACGTTGACGTGATTCACTTCTTCACATACTTTTGTAGGCTTAAAGGAATCTTGCGCGGAAAAATCATGATTCTATTTCAGCCATAAATCACTGGCTTGAGACTCATTATCCACGATAATAGTGAAAAGAACTGAAGTATTGCTTTCGTTTTGATTAGAAATTCGAAAACTCGAAAAGGCTGCTACGCGTTCGAATTGCCCACGGACGTCTTTCACGAATGCTGGCGACGGGGATGCTCAAACTTGGTTCTTGGAGTGCATTCACTAGAAGCTCTTTCTGGCCTTCTGCTTCGTTGCATTCACATCTTACACTTCTACTCCATCCTATTCCATCGATCGATTTGTCTCCACTCTCCGAAATCGCGCGCTTTAACCCGATTCTCTCATTGCGTCGCCTGGTACGTAGCCGGCCAAACGCCGTCTTCTTTCCATGCCTCGCCTGGCTCTGCCTCCTGGTCCTTCGATGGTCCATAACGTGTAGTTTTTGTACGTTTGTTTCTCTTCAGAAACCGAATCTTCATGCGTGAAACTTTGTGTGCTATTTCCAGTGATCACAACTGACATATTCATGTTAGGAAAGAGTGCAAGAATTTTCCGCGCAAGATTCCTTTAAGGTGGCAATGTGATTGTTCGGCGGCCGATAGTAGTGTCAGCAACCTTTTGTTTTCTGCGTTCCTCCTCTCTTTCGGTTGGTCCTTGGTCACTTACCAAGCTCGGTTTAAGCCCTGCTATGGAATGCCTCCCTCTACTATAAATGCATTAAAACAGATTGAACATCATGCGCATCAGATGACACAAAAGACATACGGTTTTCTAAGTGTCTCACGTGTGCGTGATGGACCCCCCCCCACCTTCCCACTCACTTAACGACATGATCAGAATGGGAAAAATAAAATTGCTTACACAACCCTAGTCTCCTCTAAAAGGGGCAACTAGGAGGAAACGCTGAGGGCTCTCCGCAGAACAGTCCCAACAAGTACGGCAATGCCGTAGATAACCTCACTTTTGATTATTTTCTCTTTGTACAGATCTGTCGCTTCAACTAGTATTTCAGGTTAACGACAGTTCGGGCAGTGCCGAGAAGCTGAAAGAAGTTACTTATGAAGGAAATGGAAGCTCACATAAAATTGATCGAGAAAGGAGTAAGTAGAGTTGACCATTCACCTAAACTACTAGTTCTCATGTTGCAATCCTTCCTTCTTCTTGACTACGGTAAAAGTGCGCAAGTTAAAAGCTGCCGTAGACCATCGCTCGGCTCACACAGTAAGAGCTTCTCGGAATGTTCCCAACAGTGGCCAGCTAGGGAATACTATTGCACGGCGAGAAGAAGATATTATTATAAACAATACGAGCAGAGATGGCAAACGGATAGAGATGCACACTTATCATGGTAGGAGGCGCGATGCATGATTCCCTGACGCGGGCCAGAACTTTTATCCTACAAACATGAAGTAGTACGCTATGCTTCTGGAAACTGACAACAGCGCGCTGCCTCTACGCTCGAATGTCCCCCCCCCCTCAACTAAGTTAGCACCGAATGGAAGTAATAACAAAATAACGTTTGTGGGAATCCAACAGCTCCTTTTACTGGTGAAATATCGCGGATCGCTCAGTACAAGCAACAGCTACACTGGGACATAGCTACACACCTGTACCGAAAAATTTTCACTAAAAGATTCACTTCTTGGCTAAAATGGCAGCGCAGGTTTCGTCGCCTTATTAGGTTGCATTATTTTATTTTGTTCTTTATTTATTTTTATTTTTAAGACTGTCAATCGGACGGCTATACTAATGCTTATGACACCATTATGCAACTTTGTGGAACGGCTTGAAATGGAATTAACAAATGTGAGCGAATCTTCCTGATTTGATCCGCATGAGATAGCGTGGGACTTGATTCGGCACGCGACACACAGTTTGAAGAATTCAGTTTCGAAACGTGGTGGGTCATAATCAATCTAACGAAGTTATAGAGACATTTAAAGCAACAATCAGTCGAGCGAGGGTAGGACCACCTAAATGACCTTTGCAGCGTGAGAAGTTGAGTCAATGAAAAGAAAAAGTTAGAAAAACTCTGCAGGGGCTCTTAGACTGCTGACTCCTGCGTTTTTAGAGCGAATACGTGCGTGGACGAGTTGTCCGAACCTGCCGTAGTACATGCGCTCCAATTGCAACTGCTGGCAAATAGCCATGCATGCTTGCAATACATAACTATTTGCCAGCAATCGAAATTGAAGCGCTTCAATTGCGTTCTTATGGAATCGACCTCATACAGCGCGGCGGTCCCGCAACGACCGCTAGTCGAGCAAGCGCTCTGCACAGCTGCTTGGAGGCGGCCCCACCACGGATCGGTGGATCCGCCCCTCTTGAAGGATTTCGACTGCTTCCAACGCCTTTCAGAGGTAAGTTTTGAAGTTTGTGACATTTCCCATGAACTCCAATCAGGCTGAGGCATGTTTCCACCACTTGAAAACCAAATGGTTGAAACCCTGCCTGGACTGTTGCTTTAAGGAATAAACCAGGCTTTTACGGGAAGTTATGCCATGATGTTGAATGTTCGTACATTTTCAACTATGGCGATCTGTGCTGTAATTTGCCGTCCATTGCAGACAAAGAATCTTCTTACGGACATCGAAGCTCGGCAGGCTGATCTAACCAGCGAAATGGAACACGTGGAGAGCGTGAGCAGAATTCTGAACAAAGCCACCCGAAACTCTAACGAATCTAAACAGAAGTGAAAAATATCTCTTTGATGTCATGCCCCCCCCTTTTTCAAATCTGAAGCCTTGCTCTCTTTGGGTGTTCAGCAAGAGGTCACTGCACGACATCTCGTCAAAACTACAATGCGGCACCGGCTCAGTTATTTCTTTGCTATGCACCCACACCTCCTCTACTTCTCAACCCAGTATACATATACATATCCCATTATGAGTTCCACATTACCTGAAAGAGCTACAATAAATAGCTCATAAATATGATTTCCATCTATGTCTACAGTAATCGCCATGATTGTCACATTGACACGTAATAAATTGACAAACAATTTCCAACATTTTCATAGTAACGTATATATTGCTTGAGTAATTCGCCAGCGTTAGGATACCCTGCATGAACGTCGTTTTATGAGAATCGGTTTGCCAACAAAAGTCGGGTTTGTATAATATCCTTCTATTATATAAAGCGCTAACTTTGTGTGTCGGTTTGTGTATCTGTATGTGTGTGTGTGTGTGTGTGTGTGTATGTATGTGTGTCCGTCCGCAAAATGAAGTGAGTGAGAAGGAAGCTCATGGGATAAACAAACCGCTAACAAATCGGGTAGCTTACAGGATTTGAGATATCAATGTTTTGTAGCAGGATAGTTGTGATAACACTCTTAGGGCTATATAAACACCTGCTTAGCACACTTCCGTTCATTCCACATGGTGCTGCAGTGGCAGCTGGAGGGCAGTGGAGAGAGAAGGGAGGATGAGGAAGGGAAGCGAAAAATCTACCGTCATATCATGATTGTGTCCCTTCTACTGTATGAAACACCATTGTTGCATACGCGTCACTTCCAGGAGGTGTTGGTGTCACAGGAGGAAGGGACCATAGCGGAGGATAGAAAGCTTGCGCAGGAAAGGAAGGTCCCGGCGGTTGACGGGGGACTAATCTGGTTAGCAAAAATAACAGTGTCCAGTAATAACTTCACGATCAA